CCTATTTAAAATCTAAAACTTAAAATTGTCTGTAGCCTGCTGTTGTTACCACTGTCCTGTTTGAAATGGATACTAACTAGCTAACTGACTGAATGCCCATTAACCTTATAACTGCTGTTGTGTGTGTGTGTGTGTGTGCGCGTGTGTTTGTGTACAGAGAGACAGCCAGGTTCATAATGGATATAAGGAGGTTTTATTTTTTTTAAAAAGAAGCCACATTCAGGTAAAAGTGTAAAATCAAATGATCCGTCAATCAAGAATAATGTTGGATCAGTGTTTCAATGTTTATATCTTTTATTAGATGTTCATGTGGTTATTTGCCTTTTGGTTGAAAGTACACTGAGAGAGGACTTTTTGTTAGTGATCTTAATAGTATTCTTTTCATATTAATGTAATTTTTCATCTAATTGAATACAATTAGAGCGAGGAAAGAGGGGAACGTGAGGAGAAAGTACAAGGTCAGGAAGAACCAGGTAAGAAAACAGACAGGAAAAGTGACAGGCAAAAAGAGAAAAAACCTGATTTTACTCAAACAATCTGGAAGTTGTGTCCTCCCTATATTAAAGCTGCTGTACAGAATCTGCAAAACAAACTGGGTTGAAACATATTTGACCCTCTTTAAAAACATTCCAACATAACATTATCATTGATTGGGGAGATTAAAATTAATGATATATTTTTATGTAGTTCAGCCACAACTCTAATAAAACCTCAGCCAGTAATAGGTAGGCCAACATTAGGACCGTCCATTTGTCTGTATGACTGCTGCAGTACATTTGCACACTATCAGAAAGAGCCAAACAGCCCTGGTGGAGTGAGGAGCTGTAAAGAGAAGCAGAGTGCTCTGTTTATATTCTAAAAAATATTAAGCTTGTTTCAAAGATTCTGTACAGCAGCTTTAAATGTTTTCCAAAAGCACACATACACTTATCAGTGTTTCTCAAACTTCTCACAGTGTCAAGCTCTCCTAAGTACCACTATGAAAGAATGAAACCCATAAATCTTACAACACAAAATTAGTATTATTAAATTAGTAAAATTAGTGTCTGCAGTAAAGATTTATTTGTAATAATTTATTCTGTTTTAGGAGTGTTTTTATGTATCTGTATTATATTATACATACACATTAAAAGTGAATCTCTGTCCAAACAATGCACTCAGTTTACTTTTTACTCACTATGAGCATCACTCATTATTTTCCCCCAGTAATGAAGGTTAGGATATGTATTTTTTTTTTTATTCCGATCCATTCTTCAGTTGCAGCATTTAAATAACCTTGATCAGATTTGATGGTTTTGTTACAGACTTTTCAAAAAAGTGTTTTGCTTTTCTTTCACAAATATGGGGATTAAATTGTGTTAAAATGTACAAAACAGTGATGTCATGTTTTGAGACGAGGACCCAGGCACAGAGAGACTTGATGAATTTAAGAATCTTATGATTTATCTTGCCTGGCTGGGCAGCTCTCTGGGTGCTCAGCACCTCCAAAGCTCTAATCCTAGAATCGCCCCTGGTTTGTTGGATGACATTGTGCTTTCCCCTCTAGTTTTAAATGAAGCAATACATCAGTGAAGTGAGTACACAAGTTTATATTAAATAGAAAACTGTTGTGTTAACTATTATGATAGTCATTTTTCAGAAATTCAATTGGATTTGAGATGAGCTTCTTTGAGGTCCTCCTCTCCTCCCTGGCGACTTTCATCTTCAGCTGATCCTCCTTCTCCGTGATCACTGTAGTTGTAGTAAACCACGTCAGTGTCCTTTCTGCTCAGCGTCTGCTCCCTGCTGGCCTGCAGAGACATCACAGATCAGACTGACTGCATTGATCCTCTTGTCAGTTCATTCTCAGCAACAAAGATGTTTCAGTACCTTCCAGCAGAAATAAAGGGCAGTAATCACAATCAGGAGAATCAGCAGCAGGATGACTCCTGTGATGGTATGAACTGTTGGAGCTGCTGGAGCTGTTGGATGGAACAAAGTTTAATGAGTTCAGTAGTTTAAATTATTACACTGAACCTGAATAAAATATTTGATTGATCTCTGAGAAGAAACAGTCATTTTTACAGCTGTTCAGATATAAGAATAGTAATCTAAGAATATGTGAAATGAAATATGTTAATCAGACTAAAAATAGTGATACATCTCTAATTATTTGTTGAAAGTGCAAATATATCTTCATTGAAATATTACAAATATAATTTGAGACACTGTACTGTAGTATAGAAAAAGTATTTGGACAGTTTTGTTTCAGTACACCATCACAGGGGATGTTTAAATGAAAGTTTAGCATCAAGTTTAGCTAAACAGTAAACTAAAGTATTAACCAAGTATTCAATTACAAACACTTTAATCCATATTTTCAGAATGCTCACGAATTGGTCAAATATACGGATTGTTTTTTTATATTCATAATAATCCTTTGCAGTCACTGGCTGCCTGAAGTTGAGGACCTATGAACATCACTCACTAAATCCTGGATCCCCTCCCTGAGATGCTCTGCTTGTGGGTTATTCTGAAAAGTTCCTCTGTTGTGCTGACATTAGGTGGCTGTTTTGGTTGTTAAAGAATCACCCATCTTTTTTCCTTTAGAAACTCTTGGGCTACTTTTTCAGTTTGCTTCGGCTCATTATCCATTTTCACCGTGAAGCACTTTTTGGTTTGTAGGGATTAAGTGAACCTAAACATCAGTCCTGAGACCACTGCGGTTTTGACAAATGAAAACTCTGGAACGCAACATCAGGTGTGGGTCTTCATGCACGCCAGGATGGCCCTATGTATCATAGTAACAAAGTGAGCTATTAGCAGATTAACCCTGGTTCTAGGTCCTGAATGAAGTATCTGAGTCTTAGCTAGGTGTAGGAAGTACACCTGAAAATGGCTGAGGGGTGCATGATAGATGAGATGAAGCTTGTATCTTTCTCGCAGTTGACCGCACTCAGAACCAGACTTATCCAGGTGATGAAACATGATCTTTGCTCTAATTATAAGGCTCATACACAAAAATGAGATGCTATAATTTTTCCCGTATGTGAACTTTACATATAACCTACACACACACTGAGCACGTTAAGTTTTTACAAAAAAAAAAGTATCCTCAGAAAGCCCACTGTGTGGAAAAAAATGGAGAGAACATCAAGCGACGATGAGCTAGTCCTGATCCTGGGTGCATGCCATTCTCAGGAGAAAGCGGCAGCAGGGAGAATTTTCTGGTCTGATCCAGCAGTTGAAGCTTTCATCCATATTTCAGGATTTCAGTGGGGTAGCAGATTTGGGACAACACATGAGAAGGAAGAGATAATTTCAAAGACCTGATTGTGAGCTATTCTGTGACACAACAAACAAGTGTTCCGCCATGTTGAACACTTTGACTGTTTCACTCTCTTCAGTGCCGTGATTGGTCAAATGTGTTTATATGCATCCAAAAAAATCCGAAAACTTCAGCTTACGTGAAACAGCAACAGACAGCTGGCAGCTCTCGGAGGATAAGTTATGAGAGAAAACGTAGATGTGATAAACACAGCTGTAGTTTCCTTGGTGGGTGGGCACTGCAGCAGGAAACAGGAAGTGGGCAGAGTGATTGACAGCTGGCTGGGTGTAGCTGTATGCCGTGTTGGAGGAGGTGAAGGTGAGCTGGAAGGAACCTCCTGGGTACTGTGGCTGGATAGAGCAGCTGATGGTGAAGTTGGAGCGGCTGGACACCTGAAGCCCCTGCTGCTGGGCCTCAAAGACCCCATCCATGGAGGATGCATGGATGTTTGGCTGAACCAGCAGGTCTGTAAACACACAGATTCTACAAGGTCACCTTACATCAACCTTTCATTCAAACAATGAGCACCAAACACAGAGCATAATGCTTCCTGCAAGTGTGTCCTGGAGGGTCTGAAGCTTTCTCAATCTTTACAATCAAGACCACAAAGCAAACATTATATTCATGACAGAAAGCATGTGACAGGTATAACTGTCATGGATGATGTCAGTGGTGAGCCTACCTGAGCAGGTGAGTCCAACAGCTTTGCCAGGTGAGCAGCTGTTTCTAGCTGAGCCTGAGCTTCTACAGTCCAGGAGAGCAGACTCATGGCCTCCACACTGGAACTCTTTGCTCCACGCTGGAGCCTCCACTTCTTCATAGAGCGCCCCCTGGAGGACTGAAGGAGGCCCACAGCCGAGCTCCCTACAGACCACCTCTGCATCCTGCTGGTCAAAGTCAGCTTCACACACTGAGGACCAGCTCTGGTTAGACTTCACCTCCAGTCTGCCTGAACACAGACTGGAACCATTCAGCAGCCTGACAGAGTCTGGAGACATCAGAGAAGATCAAACAGAGAGATCAGAGACAGCAGACACACAACAAAAATATTTTTTTCTGAGACTAACTTGGAGGTTTTGTGACTGTGGGAGGAAGGCAGAGTAGCCACAGAGATAAGGAACAGACAACCTCTGCATGGAAGTAGATCAACCTGGATTTGACTGGTGGTACTTTCACAGTTATATGGTGTGAAAGCACCAATAGAAAAAGGAGAACACTTAAAAAGATACTTCTTATGGGGGAATAACCTCAGCTAAGATGTAGGGCTGGGCGATATGACCCAAAATTCATATCTCGATATTTTTTAGCTGGATGGCGATATAAGATATATATCTCGATATATTTTTTAAGCCATAAAGTAAGAACAAAAAGAGAGTTCTTAGTCAAAGCTGTGTCCCAGATGTCACACAGGCACTTTTATTAACATACAGCACAGATGTACATGAAAAATTACTCAAAATTAAATTATGAGCATTCATTAAATAAAAATGCTCCATAAATAAAAGAAAACAATGTTGTTTTTGTGCTAAACAAAGAGCTCACAATTGTGCAGTCAAAATGTAAACTAAAAGATGCTGAGCGTAATAACAAAGACAGACAGATTTCACAGCTGCTCTGTTCCCAAGTTTTACTGTGTGACTGATAGCCTGGAGTTTGAAATCCACTTCATAACCACGTCTCTTACAGGTGCCATTTATGGTCCTTATACACACACAATAGGTAATATTACGTTGAAGCGCAGTACGGATCACTCCGCGAAGCTCCTCGGTAGCCATAATGCGCCGACAATTCATCAAGTGCTGCAGCTTCGTAGTTTACCAAAGTCGTACTAAAACATTTTTTGACAGATTGCTGAGAGCCGTGTTCCACATAAAATCGGTTCGCGGCCATCAAGCACAACCAGAATTTATACATAAGGCGCGCTATCAACTTTTGAGAGAATGAAAGGATTTTAGGGTTAGCGCTGTTAGCTCGTTAGCGCGGTTAGCTCGTTAACACGTTGACGCTGTCCAGCCCCACGCATGGGGCGATGCGCAGTAACTCGTTAACGGAGATTTGCCGTGTCCATCTTGTCGCTGCCTGCACGTGAAGCGATGGGGGAGGAGGGGGAGTTGTCTTCAGTGAAGGCGAGGCGGAGTAACGTTGCGTAGAGATAGGGTTGCCAACTCCCTGAAAAATAAATAAGGGACACCTCGTGGCCAGGGCCGGGCAACCCAGTTGTCTTCACCCTTCCCAGTGTGGTAGCTCTTTTTTTGTGTGTGAAATTATTTTTTTAACCATTTGACTTGAAGTTGATTTAAGTAGAT